TCGCGTGTTCGATTAAGTTCAAGTTCTATAATAAAATGGATTGATGCGCCCCCTCCCTCCTAAGACGATAAAAAATGAAATCAGGTCCATCGATATCAAAGTAGCTGCAAGCGGGTCCCGACGTTCTATTTCAAATGCACCCTTTGCCCGGCGTCTATATTGTGAAGAGGAGAGCGTGCACCCTCGAACACCTCGCTGTCAACCGGGTATTTCCCGAAAAAAAGAACTTGTAGCATCACTACCAAAGAAATTAAAGCCACATCCCGATTCAGCAATCGAGGAAACGTCCATTTCCCTTCCATACAAGATCCAGGTCGGTTTGCAGCCTATGTACGCGATGTTTGCGATCGTTTCATCATCGTCATTATTAAAGGAGAATCTGCCTAGTCATATAGTAACCCAGGTGGCATATATGGTCAACAAGGTTTTGGCACGAGCAAAAAAAAGGGAAACGAAGACTGTAAAGATGTATGAAAAAGCGTTCGGGGAGTGAGAAATCCAAGTACGCGTCCGTCCTCCCTAGGTAAGGGGAGCGTCCGTCCCAGCTGGCATGGTCCACATGCATGCCGAAATTTGGTTATTGGAAAGAACGTAAGCAGTTTGGAGATGAGAGGGCATGTGATTCGTGGGCGGCATACGGGCAGGGGTGGGAAGGCGTGATCCGACAAGTATATGCAACCACAGTGGTGGGTGCAATATATGGGTGTAAGGAGTGGCAGGACGGCGTCCGTGGGGAAATACAAGGCAAGTGTCGGGAGTAGGCGCAGGGTGGGGGTAGGAGTCCGAACGAAAAGTCTAATGCAACTACTAGAAATTACCGAGAACCACGATGATAGCGGATGTATGGTAAAAGCCAGCCTTGCAATGCAGGAAAAAGGTGCGGTGTGGGGTGGAAAAGCGGAGACAAGAGAAGTGGAGTTATGCGGGTTAGAAGGGCAAGTAGAGGTGAGAACTACACGGCGACGAAGGTGGGACAACAACGTGAGGACTACGAAAGGTATCCGAGAAATATACAACCAACGTTGAGAAGTCGAAAGTGAAATAAAATAAAGTAAAGCGCACAAGAAATCCTAGTGATCTTGCACTGTATCACCAGTCTCACTTAGAGTTTCCACTTTAACTCCCCGTGATGAACCGACGCTCCGTAGGTCCCGTCCTTCTTCTGCCAATTCACGATTCATGATCGCATCATCCCTGTGGTCCTCGGCCTCCTCAACAGGGGGCCCTGCAAAATCAGGTTTGCGCAATGCTGTCCTAAATGCATCCGCCATGATGGCTGCATCGGCTCCTGAAAATGGACCGGTATCGCCTGCAGAGTGGGCCCGTGAGATATCGGATGCACCATCCGGAGATATGATCGATGCAGGCCGATGATGTTCTGATGATGTCCGGCCAGCCGTCGCACCCACCAACCCAGCCCCCAACAACGGTAGCTGAGGAGAGTTGGAGTTCTGGGCATTGGCCATCATCGGAGACGAGGAACCCATGGACCCTCGATTCGATAGCTGTTCACGTCTTCGTAAACGGCGCGCGATTAACCAAATCAAGACACCACCAGCTACGATAGCGAGAAATCCGAGTACCACGATGACTGCTATTGCCCAATGAGGAAAAGGTGCATTTGAGTTGTTTGACTGAACATTTCCCGATGGAAGTGACGATGTCCCAGATGCATGTAAGCTAGATGATGCTGATGACAGAGCAGCAGCAGATGACGAGGCGGCAGCGGCGGATGACGATGCGGCGGCAGCGGATGACGAGGACTGCATAGACGAAACGACAGCATCTGCATATGTAGTTTCTTTACAATATGTTAGTTGGGGTATAATAGGCTGCGCGACACAAACGTACGAATAGCCGTGAACGTTGGATTTGTGGTTTGAGAGCCATCCAGACCATCCTGATTGGTCACTACCCAATAAAATGGGTATGAGAAGTTCTGCCCTGGCGTCCATGAATTGCCTTTGGTTCCGAACCACGTATCATTCACAGGTGCATTCATTTCACCGGCATTATTAGTTGGATTTGTTTGTGTGAAATTGAGAATGGGGAGGTTTGTATCAGCATCAATCAAGTACAGCTGGACGACATTGAACTGAGTTGCGGCCGTCTACTGTTCCCTGTTATCCGCGTCAATCTCAATAGAGAAAATGGAACATGGAGATGCTCACAGACAACGGGTGCCCACTGGTGTTGAATCACAAGATCACCTGCGCCTGGATAGCAAGTCACCTGACTATTATCAGCGTATATTTCACATTGAGTCTCGGCTGCCGCTGGCGAACAAACACAAGACGTTAGCACAGGATACGAGTAATGAGGGAGACGCGACTGCTCGCGTCCGGAACCTCGCACAACTACATTGTACACGCACCGAGCGCACTCTGATTCGAGATGATAGTTCCCTGTCTCCTTCCCAGTGATGAGGACCAAGAAGATCCCATGTCAGGGCTCTTTCGCTTCGATGATGAATATGATGACGATGGTGGAGCTGTCTGAGCTGGCCAAGGTGAATTCTGGGATGGGTTGGGAGACATGGCAGGAATTCGTTATCAAAAGGAAGTATAGTAGCCGATGTTGAATGAATAACGGTTCGCCCGTTTCTTCAAGAAAGGGCAGAAAGTAAGTACTGGTATGGCTGGGAGGTGGGATATGTTATTGGTTGCTTTACGACCTTGAATCTTGGGCAGAATAGACCAACGAACAAGGAAGCGGGAATTAACGTCCTGTCAACGTCAAGCGCAGCGACGACGACTAGTTCGGCGACGGCAGCAGCGACGGGAATGACGCAGGGAACGTCGAGCAGGGAGTGAACAGAGCGAGCACTAGGTTAGGTTGCAAAAGGTGAGTGTCCTGAATTCTCAAAGACCCTGAATACCCCCGCTTACATAATTACCCCCCTCCCCTTTGTTCGCGCGCGGCTCTACTTGTCCGCGCGTTTTGGGAAATCTGCTCTAATCTGCCTCGCTTCATTCATAAAATCTGATTCCCTCGGTGTAGCTGCCATTTATTACACTGCCGCCATCTGCTACTTGGTTCATCAAGATATCATCATTTCATTTATGCGGAAGATTTGAAAGCTCGCCGTAGGCAACAGGATATGTTAAGCGCGTGCTGATATATGTCAGGTGAGCATAGCGTCGGTCATCATGATCATCACATGATAGAAATAAATGGGTATCCCCTGGGGACCAGCACAGCTCAGAGAGAGGTAGCTTGCAACGCAAATCATGCGATGTGGTTCGCACATGCGGCTATAATTGGCTGCTAAAAGTATAACACGGTACGAAATTCCTCAGCTTACAGACATCATGATGTATGAAGTTTGGTTCACATGGATTAATTTGACACACGGCGAAGCTTCACTAGAGTTACCACTCACTGCCATCTGATTCTGCGATGCCACCGGAGAAACACCCATCTTGTGGGTTCACAGATACTGCAAAATACAGATTTTCACGCTGAGTTCAAAGATGTTCGGATTACCAACAATCCAGGGTCGTGCAATCCAAAATTTGAACGAAGCTGTCAGGCCCATCGGAAAAACGATGCGGGCTAAACTTTGAGATTCGGAAGAACTTGTCCTCAACAGTAACTCCGCAGACATGTCGGAGAAGAAGTCGAGGATAACAGTAACTTGGTCCCCGTTTTCCGTTTGCATCCACGGAGGCAGATATCGACCCCAGAACAACCTTTTGATTGAAGAATGGACAGGGCCGATAGATAGTGTTGGATAAGCTTGATCGCGATCATACGACGATTATCAGTGAAACTCTGGCTAGCACCGATAAAAAGGTTCTGAGTCTAGAAGCACGGGAGAACAAGAGGGGAAAATTACGTTGGTATACCCAGCTAGGGATCTGGTGGATATGAATGTGGGTCGAGGCAGGATATCGCACCAGTGGCATTCCCACAAAAGACTTGAAGATTACATAATATTATGATTCAAATCAGAATTCAAAAACATTGCAAAGACCCTGAACAAAACAGTTTAAACTGAACAAGAAGACCTTGTGATAGGCGATCAGCTAGTCAAACGGGAAGGCGGCCTTAGGATCGACGTGCATAATTGTTGTCGTAAGACGAAGGCTTCACGTGCGTCGAGGTGAGCATGTCGTAGGAGATGACATTCACTATTAGATCATTCACCAGAGTGCGAGCATTGGAGTTGATGTCCAGCAGCCAGCTGGTTGCTAGCTTTACAGTCTTACAGATTTATTATTTTGTCTGACATGGCAGTACCAGATCGAGGTCACACCCTTCTACTCAGCAGCTTGGGGAGGTCAAACACCACCGAGACTCCATTGTCGACTATCCAGGCCCTCATCGTCCACTACCTCGCGAATATTCATCCTTCTCCAACACCTCTCGCTGCCACTATTGTCAGCAGCCCTATCTTCCTTCCATTTTCACTTTCAAAACTAGAAGTTCTCAGTACATCCTTCCGACATGCGGTACATTCGAAACTACAGGTGCTGAAAGCGGATTCGAGTGGACTGTTTTCTCCGAGCTTAGATACTCAGCTCAACGTCTGGTCCCTTGCTATCTTTCAAGGTCTCGAGGGTGGACACGCCATTATACGATCAGCCTGTTGCAGCGGACTTCTTCTTGGCCTTGAGGATATCCTGCAGCATTTACCAGCAAAGATGCGAGGCGTGAAGGGTATAGCTGAAGATGAACTGGTAATGACATTTGCAGACGTTATTGACCAGTTCTCAACGTCTGATGCATGGAGAAAAGAATTTCATTCTGTTGCTGAATCAGGTGCGTGCTCAGAGCATCGGCAACTATTCTGTCAACGTGAACCTTGCTCCTATAGCCGATGCTCTTGCATTGTCACTCATCATAGGTTCTCAATCTCTTCTGTTGGTACCCTCCCAGAAATTCACTGCGCTCCCCCTTTCTGTGAGTCTGCTCACATGAACGGTTCGCTTATACTAATGTATCATCAGCATCTATTAGGACTAATTATGCGCACCATCGAGGATGCGTTTGACGGTGGAAAGTCCCTGTCTTCCCTTCAGTCTTCGTTATGTTCTAAGGCAGAATTCAAAATTCATATACCTGTCAGTAGCGCGCGCATATATATCTCCCTAAACTAACATTCATACAGTCAGACAGCCCAATTTCAAAATCCATCAAGAACGTATCGAATTCGAATTCGATGGCTTACATTGGTTCAATATCGAAGTTGTGCGCTAGAACCATGTCGCTCTTTGTAGATCATAGGCCAAACATCGCACTGCCTCTAATCTCGGAAGCATATCAGAAACTCAACTCTATCACTGCCCACGTTGAAACCGACTGGTTTCCGACCTCACTTTCTGGGGCTACAGGCCAGAGCTTGTTGTGTGAGAGCCTCGTTGGATTAATAGCCGTACAGCGCTCATCCATATTTAGCACCAGACGCCAGGGAAGTTACAACCGTCATATGGGCGACTTTGAAAACACTCCTTTTCAGCGTGATTATGATCACAGAAGCAGGTCTCTCTGCTCTGGTATACATCCCCTCCACTTCCGCTGTTCTACCATCGACTTCGACGCTCGCAGCAATTGTTCTGCAAGCGCTCTCACACCTGTCATTTGTTATCACGCAGTTTGGTGGTGCAGGTTACGGTGCTTTCGATGAGCTCAAGAGGTTGTTTTACCTTGCACTCGACATTCTCGGAAGTGATGTAACAAAGAGCAACGAATACGCCCGACATCTATGTGTCGTTGAATCGGGCTTGGAGCCACATCCGGCTCACCCTTTCTATCAAGCGAAAAGGGCCTTTGCGCTTTCAGCAATCGAACAACTTATTCCTGTGCTTAACGAAATGACTATTCAGGAGCTTGTATTTCCTACGTGCCTTCCGTAAGTTTCATCCTCCACATATACAGTGATTCACCCTTAACACGTGGTAGGCACCTGTCTGACGCTAGTCACCGCGAGACGTTCGAATCCGCGCATAGTGTCGTCCTTGCCATCTTCGCTTCGCATGCGCAGAAGGCGAGGGAGTCGACGTCACAACAGGGGGGGAGCTTCACAAGGAAAATCGTGCCGTTTTATGCCAACTGTCTAATAGACGTAAGCGGCTCCGTCTTAATTCTCGAGTATCTTTGACCATGCTGGTCGTTCACAGAATTCAGTGCAGGGCAGGCTCAGCACGCTGCAACTCCGGTTAGCATTTGCTGCTCTCGTTCGGAGTGCGGCGTCTGCTGCCGATTTGTCTCTTGCGTGGTTTTGCATCGACTGCCTTCTGGCTGCTGTTGCGTCTGTCTCCGAGCATGATGACGAGCGTAAGCATCGACTTCACTTGACTCTTATCTCGTGTGTGCCATCGGTGCCGTTGGCCTTGCTCCCTCGCTTGCTGGATCCCATCCGTTCATTTATGAATGCAGCTCAGGACGAGAAGAAGAGGCAGGAACTTATCGACGCGCTCTTTGCGGAGATCAAAGTGCGCGTCGGCGATAGAGAGAAAGAATATATGATTCGGTGGTGGGGAGAGCTGCGGATGAAGTGGGCTCATACTGTGCCTGGTCGTGAGGAAATCCAGGGGGATCATGGTTTGGACACTGAAGTGACATTGACTCCACGACTGTGAATCGTGATGTGCTCTCCTGATGTTTTTGCGTACGGATTACTCAAATGAAAAATGCTTCAAGGGGATCGTTGTACATAACATGTCACTCTGGCAGTCCTGTCAAGTCTTACGCATGGAATCGAGGGTTCCAACGCGCCACACTGACTGCATAGCAACAGTTATTCATTTAATTTGTTAGGCGGTCCAACCTATTAGGTGTACCGTACAGTAATTAGGTCCTGACGGAGTTCGAAACCTCACCTAGCGGATGTTCCGGGCCGGTAATTTTCAAGTACTGTTAACAACCTATTGGCACAAATGAGGTAGACTTATCCTCCAGTGCAACTCATCCCCACAAATGGCCTGTCTGACTCCTGTATACAATAAATTTTGGCTTGCACCTGCAGCATCAGATAACTGACATGGAAATAGTAAATTTTTGTCAAGCTTTACCTGCTTAGAATTTGTATAATATTCATCAAAATGGTAGTTCACTAGAAAAAATTATGTATATGTATACCTGGAGTAAATTGGATGGAAACTGCCAAAAGCACAATCATGACAGTCTTTTTTTTGAATCCTTGTTTATTATCTGTTGCAGTGAAGCCTTATGGTAGACTGCACATATGGTATTGTAAACTGTGTGTGTATGTGTGATTGTTATATCAATATGTTACTGTAATCCTGGTCCCAGCTTGCATGAGGACAGTACATAAGTACCATCTTAAGAGTCAGTTTGGAAACTTCAAAGTTGGCAAATATTTGCAATATTTGATGTAGGGGCTGTGTGTTGGTTTGCCATCATACTCCTTCTAGTGGGTGGGGCCCAAACCTTCCCTACCTACTGCCCAGCACCACTGTAAAGTATGGAGTGCTTCAATCCTCACATCCATTGGGTGATCTACTCATTGGTGGTCACCACTATTTCAATCTGTGCTCACTTGATTACTCTACTCATGGCTACAGAAGTATCTCCTGAACCTAAGGCTCAAGAAAATGCACAGGAGACCAATGTGCTACTTACTTTTCTATTTAGCAAGATTTCTGAGGCTGGCAATGGCAACAATTTCAAGGCCCTGACATTTAATGTAGCAGCAATGGTCCTTGCCCAGACTAATCTACTCACTGTGGGCCCCCCTAAGATTGCAAAATGTTGCAAGACTAAATGGATATTGGTAAGGAATCACACCTCATATCTACTGATCTGTACTGATCAAGACTTAATGTGGCTCAAGCAAATGTATGGTAATATCAAGGCCTACTGTAATCTCTCAGGCATACACTGGGACAATGAGAGGGGAGCTGGAATTGAAGGAAATCCTGCATGGGTAGTATGGAATTCATTTCTCCAATTGAGCATAAGTACACTTGCATCACATGGGTTTTAATATTGGAACTGATATTTTGATACACTGGCAGCAATCCTATGATATGATGTGCCAATACTACAATACTGGCTGGCCATTCTATTCACAGGTGTATGCCATTTTGTCAAATGGTCATAGCACTCAGGGCCATCACACTGTATGATGTGTTAATGCTGGACTCCAACTCCTTCATCATTGTTAGCTTTTCTACGACCATAGGGTCTGTGAATATCAGTTTCATGGTTCCCTATCTCCCTGGCACTCCCACAACAGCAGTAGGATCTAGCCTCAGGAATGGCAAATGCACTTGTGACAATGCATCACTTGAGACTGAAATAGCATCATATCTTTCAAGGTCTTGATCATACTCATCCTCCATTGCATCCAGCACACTAACATCAGCCCCATCCACAAAGAAAACACAATCTGCACATATTGCTAGTACTAGTAGCCATGTTACTAGCAGTAGAAACTTGCCAATGACCAGCACTGCATATGCCTCCAAGCTCACCCCTGCCACTGCTATAGTGGGGATGCAAGAATATATTAATGATATTGGCAACATCTTGGAGAGGGTAGTTAGTGGTGCTCAAGGTGCTGCCTTTCCCCCAGTCCCTATCCCTATTTCTCCTCCAGTTACCTTGAAAATCAGGGATTTATCTGCCTTTGAGCATGTCATACACATGATGCAAACAGAGGTCACTGATCTGCCAGCAGATGACTTGGGTATCTTGATGAAGGTCTTCTTTACTGCTAGCAATGACTGGGTGATAGAGATCTATGCTATGAGTGCACATACTGAAGCACATTATTCTTTTGTCAAAGCCCTTGTGACTACTCACAAGGTAGTTGTCATATGCCATTCTGGACCCTCAACTCTAAATCTGCTTCTCCAGATATCCAGATCTGAGATCCAGATCTCCAATGATCTGATCTATCTTTATCTTCCTTCTGGAATCCAAACCCTATATCAGTGCCCAACCCCATTTAGACTTCCCC